TGCGAGCCGAAGATGAATTTTCCTTTATGTCTTTGTCTGAATTTCAGAAAACAAACCCCAAAAGCGCAACAAAATAAAATAAAAAATAAAACAAACAGACAATAAAACGAATAAATAAATGAGAGACAAAAGACAGCCCGCATGCCTGCATGCATGCATGCCTGCATGCATCCCTGCATCCCTGCATGCATGCCTGCATGCATGCCTGCCTGCACCTGCGTGCATCCCTGCATGCACCTGCCTGCATCCCTGCATGCACCTGCCTGCATGCACCTGCCTGCATCCCTGCATGCACCTGCCTGCATGCATCCCTGCATGCATGCATCCCTGCATGCACTTGCATGCATGCACTTGCATGCACTGTTACCTAATGCGTTCTGCCTGTGCGGCGCAGCTGCTGCTGGCGAGCGCCTGCTGCAGCTTGGCGAACATCACGTGGACGTGGCCGACGCGGACGAAGACGCTGCGGGCGCCGAAGTCGATGGCCAAAAGGCCGCCGCGGCGAAAAGAGTGGTCGAGCCCGAGGAGGCGCTTGCAAGTCACCAAAAAGTGCCGCGCGTACTCGAAAAAGTGAAACCCTATCAAGTCCGCGCACAGCATCCCCCGCAGCAGCTGCAGCAGCAGCAGCAGCAGCAGCAGCAGCAGCAGCAGCAGAGGGTGCGCGGTGCGTCCAGGGCGGGCGGGAGAGCAGGAGCAGTCCGAACACTCCCTCAAACCCACGCAACTTGCAGCAGCAGCAGCAGCACCAGCAGCGGCTGCTGCAGCAGCAGCAGCAGCGGCGCTGCCTGCCTCCCACCAGCAGCAGCAGCAGCTGCTGCTGCAGCAGCAGCAGAGGGCGTTCAGTTCACCCAGAAGGTGCTGGGAAGCAGGAGCAGCCCCAACACTCCCTCAAACCCACGCACCATGCAGCAGCAGCCGCAGCGCTGCCTGCCTCCCAGCACCAGCAGCAGCAGCAGCAGCCCCCCCACCCCCAGCAGCAGCAGCAGCAGCAGCAGCAGCAGCAGCGGCGAACCTCTTCTCTGCAGGGGAGGCAGCGGAAGATCTCGGAGGAGGGGAAGGGGACGTGGAGGAAGAGGCCGACGTTGGCCTTGCGGTGTCTGCGGGTGACGTACATGGGAGCAGCAATGAGTTGGAAGTCGTGGATCCAAACAATGTCATTTTCGTGCATTTGCAAAGCCACTGCGTTTCCAAAAACTTTATTCACAAACTGAAAACTCCGGTAAACCCCCAGAGAATAAGGCTCCTGCGCCGCGCAGTCCACCGCCAACACGTTGTGCAGCAGCGGACGCAGCACCTGCAGCAGCAGCAGCAGCAGCAGCGCAGCAGCAGCAGCAGCAGCAGCAGCGCAGCAGCAGCAGCAGCAGCAGCAGCAGCGGGAGTGGGAGGGTATTAGTGGTGGTAGTAGCGGCGGGGGTGGAGGGGTGCGTGCTGGTTTAGGTGGGGGTTCTGCTGTTTTGCGTTGTTTTGATTTGGGGTGTTCTGCTGCTGCTGCTGCTGCTGCTGTTGCTGCTGCTGTTGCTGCTGCTGTTGCTGCTGCTGCTGCTGCTGCTGCGGCAGCAGCAGCGTGAGACAGTGATAAGGGATGAAAGGGTGAGGAGGGGAGGCAAGGATGGAAGAGCAGGAAATAGAGAGGAAATAAAATAAAATAAATAGAATAAAATAAAATAAATAAGATAAAATCAATCCAATAAAACAAATCTGGTAAAATAATAAATCAAAATAAATGCAACAAATAAAACAAGTAAACAAAACAAACAACTCCACCACAGATCCACCCCCAAAACCCTCAAAACCCTCAAAACCCTCCCAAACCCTCAAAACCCTCCCAAACCCTCAAAACCCTCAAAACCCTCAAAACCCTCAAAGCCCTCCCAAACCCTCAACACCCCTCAAAACCACCCCCAAGCCCTCAAAACCCTCCCCCAAACCCTCAATCCCCCAAAACCCTCAAAACCCCCCTAAAAACCTCAAAAGCCTCCAAACCCTCAAAACCGCCCCAAACCCTCGCAAACCCTCAAAACTCCCCCAAACCCTCGCAAACCCTCAAAACTCCCCCAAACCCTCCCAAACCCTCAAAACTCCCCCAAACCCTCCCAAACCCTCAAAACTCCCCCAAACCCTCGCAAACCCTCAAAACCGCTCCAAACCCTCTCAAACCCTCAAAACTCCCCCAAACCCTCGCAAACCCTCAAAACTCCCCCAAACCCTCGCAAACCCTCAAAACCCCCCCAAACCCTCTCAAACCCTCAAAACCGCCCCAAACCCTCTCAAACCCTCAAAACCGCCCCAAACCCTCACAAACCCTCAAAACCGCTCCAAACCCTCGCAAACCCTCAAAACTGCCTCAAAACCGCTCCAAACCCTCGCAAACCCTCAAAACTCCCTCAAACCCCCCCAAACCCTCAAAACCGCCCCAAAACCCCTCCAAACCCTCGCAAACCCTCAAAACTCCCCCAACCCCCCCCAAACCCTCAAAGCAAAGGAAAAACCGGAGTAAGAAAGCACAGCAGCAAAGACGGACTTGGTCGCAGAAGCAAAGACAGCCCTTCATCTCATCCTCGGGGACGAAAATGGGAATGCAGTTGAGGGTTTGGAGAAGCTCGCGAAGCTCCAACTCCTCCTCAGAGTCCGCGGGAGAAACCCCACAAACCCCCAAAAAAGAAACCGCCAACTTCGTTTTGCCGCGGAGGTGCAGCAGCGAAGGCAGCAGCGAAGACTTCGCGGGCCGGAGTTCGAAGCGGCCGCGGCTGCTGCGGCGGAAGGCCACGAGGGCGCCGCTGCCGTCCCGCATCTGCGGCACTGCTGCTGCTGCTGCTGCTGCTGCTGCTGCAGCGCAGCAGCAGCGGGAAGCAGCAGCTGCGGAGGAGGAGCCGCAGCAGCAGCAGGAAGGAGAAGCTGCTGCGCAGGGACTCGCTGATCCGCTGCGGGCTGCTGCGGAGGAGGAGGAGGGGGAGGGCGGAGGCTCGGGGGGCTCGCTGCTGCTGCTGCTGCTGCTGCTGCTGCTGCCTGCTGCTGCTGCTGCTGCTGCTGCTGCTGCTATTGCTGCGGCTTCCGCAGGCGTGTTCTGGTAAGAAGCCACGCGAACCACGCGGACTGGAAGCTCCAAAGAGACTATCAGCAGCGAATCGTTTTCGTCAATTGCTGCTGCTGCTTCCTGCGCAGAAAGCTGCCGCTGCAGCCCCGCGCCCCCAGACCCGCACTCCAAACCGCTCTTCTCCTGCGCAAACCCTAAACCCTAAACCCTAAACCCTAAACCCTAATACACCCTCGACAAGCCGCGCCCTGCGCCCCCGACCCCGCAGCAAGTTTCTGTTCGCTGCGGACAAGCGGCAGACTCGAGGAATAACCTGCTGGGGCGAGAAACCCAATACGCAACAAACCCTAAACCCTAAACCCTAAACCCTAAACCCTACTTGAGTGTTGGGGGCTATTTCGGTGGGCAAATCGCAAGAGGTTTTGCCGCGGATGTAACCATTGTCATCTTCTACAAGCATTTCTACTCCCGTGGGCGTCAGCTCCCGATTCCCTTCTATCTCCTCCCACCTAAACCACAAATTAGGGTTTAGGGTTTAGGGTTTAGGGTCTAGAACTTGGGGGTGTTCAGACCAGCAGAAAGACCAGCAGACACCCAGCCCCAGACCCGTGCACGCTGGAACTTGAAGAAGACAACCACCTCTACTAACCCTAAACCCTAAACCCTAAACCCTAAACCCTAAACCCTAAACCCTAAACCCTACCGGACGATTTCATTTCTGTCGTTTAAAACGACATATTTATAAGCCACCTTTTTGTTGAGAGGCAGCAGCGCCGGCTTTTTGCTAAACCACGCAGGCACGACATCTTCGTTTGTCACCAGCTCGTGGCACCGAGACACCTGCGCAAACCCTAAATTAGGGTTTAGGGTTTAGGGTTTAGGGTTCACTCGGTTCAGCGGGTTCGCGGGGTTCAGAGACTGGCCGAAGGGCTCAGCCAAGGAAACCTAAACCCTAGGGCCTCGGGGCCGCAGCAACACTGACCGGAAAAGGGATTAGGGTTTAGGGTTTAGGGTTTAGGGTTTAGGGTTTACCTGCCAGTTTCCCAGCTGGGACTCTGAACCGACAACCGCCACCTTTTCCCCAAACTCGGTGGGGATAACAACGCGAAAGAAAGTCCTCGTGTAGAGGGCCCTCATTTTGCTAGGGTTTAGGGTTTAGGGTTTTAGGCTCTAGGGTTTAGGGTTGAGGGAGGGTTTAGGGTTCTGGGTCCACGCACACTCCAACCCAAACCTAACCCCATATTTCCTCTTCACCCTCACCCTGCAGCAAACCACCCAAACTACAAACCCTAAACCCTAAACCCTCAAAACCCCAAAACCTCACAAACCCTAAACCCTAAACTTCATTCTCTCCGCACCCAAACCCGAACCCCAGGGGCCCCCCAGGGGCCCCCTTCATAAGTTCCCACATATTAGGGGGGCCCCCTCGTGTGCCGCTGCAGCAGATGCAGCAGCTGCAGCAGCAGCTGCTGCTGCTGCTGCAGGGGGGCCCCCTGGGGGCCCCCTCCTAGTGGGGGCCCCCAGCAGGGGGCCCCCAGAGATGGGGGGCCCCTAAAGGTGGGGCCCTTCTAAAGGTGGGGCCCCCTAGGCCCAGAGCTGCTGCTCTTCAGTACCCTTTAGTGAATGCCGCCGCTGCTGCTGCTGCTGCTGCTGCTGCTGCTGCTGCTGCTGCTGCTGCGGGAGTGTCCCGTCTGCGGCGGCGAAAGTGGGGGCGCTGTTGAGGTGTCAGTGAGCTGCAAAGGGTCGGTGCTTCGGGTTTAGGGTTTAGGGTTTAGGGTTTAGGGTTTAGGGGGGGCTGGAGGCCCGATAGCTGCAACACACCGGCGCTATAAACCCTCAAGAGCAGCAAGCAGCTGCTGGGGGTCCTAAACCCTCCGGGGGTTTGTGCTGGGGTGTACGTACACTGGAGCAGCAAAACAAATTAGCTCAAAGAGAAAAGCTACAGAAAGAAAGGAGCAGCAGCAGCAGCAGCAGCAGCAGCAGCTCCTAGCATGCACGGAGTCTGCCCGAGGCTGCTGCCGCTGGCTGTGCTGGGGGATCCGAAACCCTAAACCCTAAACCCTAAACCCTAGGCCCAAACCCTAAACCCTAATGTGGCGCGCAACGAACAACTCATTTCCTCTTCTTCTCGCCTTCCCCCGCCTCTCTGCTGCCGCCGCAGACACTGCAGCAGCAGCTGTTGCTGCTGCAGCAGCTGCAGCGGCAGCAGCAGCGGCATGCAGCAGCAACTCCTTCGCTGCCTTCTCTCTAATTCCCCTTTTTTTGAATTCTTCTGATCAAAAGACAAAACGCAAAACTCCCAACACACTCAAGCTGCGCGCGCGAGCTGTACGTACACCCGAGCTGCCTATACACCCCAGCCCCGAACGCGGTGTATCCCCAGCAGGCACCTCCCCAGCTTCCTCTAACCCACACACCTCCTTCAAATTCATTTTTTAATTATTATTTCTAATTTATAAACAGCAAAACTCCTAAACTTCCCAAAACTCCCCCCCCAGCGCTCCACAGCCCGCTGAACTGCTGCTGCAGGGCCTCCGGGGGAGAAGTTGCGGCCAAACGAAACCCCAAAAGAGTGTATAAAACTCTGTGCTGCTGCTGGGGGGCCCCGCAGCAGCTGTGGGGCCCCACACCTGCAGCAAGAGCTCGCTGAGTCGAAAGACGAGCTCAGAGGGGGCCCCCAGGGGCCCCAGGGGGGCCCCGGGGCCCCCGGGCCAACGCCCATAGGCACTGGGGGGCCCCTAGGGGCCCCTAAGGGGCCCCACAGGCTGGGGCCCCCAAGAGCCTTTTGGCCTTGGGGCCCCCAGGGTCAAGGGGCCCCAAGGCTTTGGGGCCCCGGAGGCCCCCACGTAACCCATTCGCAGCTAGCTAGCTAGCTGCAGCAGCTAGCTGCAGCAAGCGGCTGCAGCAGCTAGCTGCAGCAAGCTACTGCAGCTAGACAGCTGGCTGCAGCAGCTAGCTAGCTAGACTGCTAGCTGTGCAGCTAGCTAGCTCGAGCTGGCTGCATCCTGTGGGTGCTGTGAGCTGGTGGAAGCGGGATCGGGATCGGGATCGGGATCGATTCAAAGCGATCCCAAGACCCCACAACCTGTGCTGAGGTGTACAGACAGCTGCTGGAGTGTACGGGCAGCTCCGGGGCTGGGGTGTCTAGACAGCACTTTAGTTGGGCTTCCGGGATCTTCTGAAATGTCTCCAGAGGCTCTCTTAGAAATAAAATTTAAAAACTAAATTAAATTAAATTGAAAGAATTTTAATTAAATTAAATTAAGTGATAAAAGCTCCGCTACACGCGTGGCGGCGCGCTCCGAGGTGTATGTACAGCTGAATACAAACCCCACAGCCAACAAAGGCAAAGCAGCTGGCAGGCTGCTGCTGCAGCTACCCTTCCTGCTGCTGCAGCAGCAGCTGCTGCTGTAGCTGCTGCTGCAGCTGCTGCTGCAGCAGCTGCTTCTCCTGACACGGAGGGGCCCTCGGGGGCCCACATCCCACTCAGAGCCCAGGCCCCCATTTTCTACCCTTCACTGTTCATCTGTGAAGTGCCCAATAAGTAAATATATATAAATATATAAATATAAAAATGCAAATATATAAATATATATATATTCATAGATAGATAGATAGATAAATGCGTATATATATGTGCCTGCATGCATATATATATATATATATATATATATATATATATATATATATATATATATATATATATATATATATATATACTTCACATATGCATATATAGATGTCATTCTTGAGTTGCAAAATCCTGAAAATGGCCACTTGTGTGCATGCAAGAGGTCCAGAAAAGAAAGCCAGCGCATGCATGCGTTTATCTCCGAAAAAGGATTTAAAAGTAACAAGACTTGGGGCTTTTTGGGGGCCCCCAGGGGGCCCCCAGGGGGCCGTTTTGTTGCAAAGATGCATCAAATGGCACTCTTTAAAATATCAACAACTGCATTTCTGTACTTCTGCACGAAAAGCCGTGCAAAAGTGAAAAGCTGGAAAGTTAAAATTGGAGAAAATTCGAAAGAGGCATTTGGGCTGTGGGGCGCTCAGGTGTACGTACACCGCAGGCTCGCGGCCAACTAGCCTGCTGGTGCAAAGCGCCTTTTTGTTGCATGCAAAAATAGAAAGAATAATAAAGAAAAGCAAATAATAAAGTTGCGGAAACAACATGCATGCGCATGCAAAGATTTAGGGAAGAAGGGGCGCGTAAAGATTCACAAAAGTATAAATTTAAATCCGAAATACTTATTATATAATGTGCAGTGTATATATGAAACACAAAATATATATATATATATGTATATATATATATAAATATATATATATTCATATATTTAAATCTCCACCAAATTGTATTCATCAGTTTGCATATTCTTGTGGACTTGTCCTTGCAAGTGAGCCCCACTGGTTGACTTAAAAAGACAAAAAGATGAAATTAAAAAAATGAAAAGAAGAATGAGTGTTTGTGCCCCTGGACAGTTTCGCGGAGTGTACATACAGCTCCGGGAGATGGGCAAAACAAAACGAAATCAAATCAAATTAATTCAATTAATGAAATTTATTGCATTTCGTCCACTTAAGAAAAAGAAACAGTGCCTCAAAGCCTCGCTTTTGGGCCCTCAAGCTTTTGCAGCAGCAGCTGCATGCATGCAGTGTATGTACACTTGAAAAGTTCACTCTCCTCGTACTTTGCGGTGTCTAAACACCAAGTAAACGTTTCGATGGGCTCAAACAGTTTAAAAGCTTCAAATGGTTTACTTTAGTGTCAGTTAAACTTGCAAATTGTACTACTTTTGTGTCAATTCAACTTTTAAGTTGCATGCATCTTACCTCCGCAGGCCCGTGTGTAGTGCGCGCAAGTGTATGTACACCCCGTCGAGTTCAAACAGGCAAAGTAACTTTTGTTGCATTTAAAAGACAAATTTAAATTTTGGAAAAGTTTTTTGTTTTTGAGTAATGCATGCACAAAATGTGGGGCCTTTGCGCTGTCCATAAACTCCAGATGCGCGGTGTAAACGGCCAACTGTTAATTAATTAATTATTTCAATTCAAATGTTTTATTTTTTTGCCAATTTGAACTTTGAAAAAAAAGTCTGTGCATGCATGCACTTCGTTCAGTTCAGGCTTTCTGTGGTTTGTTGCGGCCTCTAAGATACTAAAAATTGTTTTAAAGTTTAAGAGTTTTGGATTTTCTAAATATAAACATTTAAAAATTTTGACTTTTTGCGAGTGCATGCAGCAGCCTTACGAGGGCATGCATGCAAAGAGATTTTATATATTTCACCAGAGCCCCAAGGATAACAGTTGCACAAAAATAAAATATAAATAATGCTTTTTTGCAGTTCGAATTTAATTTGTTTGGAAAGCGTAGATATCCAGTAATGAGAACTGCGGTGTATGTACACCTCGGCCGTTCCGCGTGCTATTCAGCCCCACATCAAATACACCCCAAAGCGCATGCATGTTCACTTTTGCATGCAAGTATAACTCTAAATAAATTCAATTAATATAAATGCATAAAGTTAAAAGCATAATGCCAGTATTTATGCATGCGCATGCACTTGCATGCCTCGCCAGGATCAAACGTGCATGCACGCGGTGTACGTACACTGCAGTCTCGAGTACATTTCTGCCAAGATAATGCACATAATAGAATTGTGAACAGCCGCGCAAGTATATTTAACGGATTTTCCATTTATAAATGTGTATAAAAGAGAACAAATTTAAATGCATGCTATTTCATTTAGCAAATGATATAGATGGATGCAGATATAATAACTACGCAAACGTAGGGATATAAATGCCGTCTGCTCGTGCATGCATGCACTATAATGCATGCATCCGAATGCATGCATGCAGACGGAAATATATCGCGCATTTGGGCATTTTAGGGTTGCATGCAAGTGCGGCAAATAAAAATGCATGCGCATGCATTTCAAGAAGAAAGAAAGCCTCTAGAAAGGCCACAAGTTCTTTTCGCGCGAAAATAAACAAATCCTTTTGAGGGCTTTTTTCCACGAAAAAGAACAAGTACTTTTCAGAAAAACGCATGCAAAGATAACTGCTTTAAATGCCCTTTCCTGACGGACAAATGCCCATGCACTTGCGCCATTTAATGACAAAAAGAGCCAGTGCTCTCTTTAAATATTTGCAAAAAGAGAAGTGAAGAAGTTGGTGCGTTCAGAATTGCTGTGCGCGCGGTGTATGTACAGACACCTGAAATGCAGTGGGGCTGCGAGCTGTCGGCGGGAGTGCCCTAAAGTCCCAGAAGAAATGAAATTAAAATAAATAAAATGAAAATAGAAATGCAAATGGAATTGTAAAGACAAGTAAATATAAGCTGAATTGGAAATGGGGTTCGGGCGGCTCCGTGGGCTTCAGCTACCCCACGGGCCGCCAGAAATAAAAAAGAATATGTATCTGGATATTCAATAAATAGAAAAAATAAATAATTAATCCGTTCAATATTTCTTTTAAATGACTACCAATATATGTAATTTGGAGTATATTTTATGTAACAGATACCTCTATATTTCCATTTATTTATTTAGTCCGACCACTGTACATACACACGGATGCGGGCAAACAAGGACGCGTTAAAGGCAGCAGTAAACTGCAGATCTTTTCAGTTGGAAATATTTAAAGATGGTCTTTTAATGCATTTATAAATGTATTTGGAGCTGCAAGTTTTTAAAATGCATCAAAAAGTCTTTCTAAAGCACTTTTGCGCATGCAAAGAGCTGCGCATACACCCCAAGCTGCACTGTAGAAAGCCGCTAATGCGCATGCATGCATGCGGCGCTTTTCTTGCAAGAGTCTGACTTTAGAAATTACCATAAAGTGCATTTGCATGCATTTGTGGAAGTTTTCCGGTACTTATTCTTGCATGCAAGTGCCCGCGCATGCACGAAGAAAAATAATAATAAAATTATCCGGGGTCCTTTATTTGCATGCATGCACCCGAACAAATCGATCTTTTCAAACATCTGGAGCTTTTGTCATATAAAATGCACAACAGTACATAAAATCTATTATATAGATTTGCAATATAAATATATAATGGAAATATATAATATATATATGGGCAGTTCATCGTAACTTTCTGTGAATGGACATTTGCATTTGTTTTCGTACATTTTCTATTCCACATATTCATATATTCTCTGTATACGTACATAAGTCCAGGAGTCTGTATTATATATATGTATGTATATCTACATATATATGTATAATAAGCAATATATAATAGAAATATAATATATATATATATACATGTAAATAAGTGTAAATATACATATATACATATATATATAATTAAACCCAGATGCATAGATGTATATTAATGGCAAATGAACAAATAAAAGTGCATTTCGGCCCCGACGAATTTGCTGAAATATCTGCATTTAAGTTGCATGCATGCGCACTTGCAAATGTTTACAATGTGCGCATATTATGCATAATATTATTATAATATCGTGGCAATATTTTCATAGTATTATGGCAATACGTTCTTAATATTATGGTAACATTTTAATAGTATTATTGCAACGATTTAATAGTGTTGTGGTAGCATTATGGTAACATTATGTAATGTGGTGGTAATATTATATGTACCTATTATGTGCAGTGTTACCTGTAGATGGATAACATAATTTAAACTTGTTAGATAGTTTATTTACTTATTAATTATATTTATATTTATATTTACATTTATATTTGTATTTGTATTTATATTTGTATTTTTATGCATTATTTATTTACTGTTTGCTTATGTGTAATACCATTTATTATTTGTGTATATATCTCAAGTACTATTTCCGCATTATGTTTATTTGCACCAGATCGTTTAGTTATTACGTTTAAATGTATAATACCATTTGTTTATTATTTCTAAATGAATAATATTATTTATCTATTATATTTGTATACATGCATAATATTATTCATATATATATAATTGTACATTTTGCATTCTTATGTGTATATATGCATATTACCATTTATTTACCATGTGCATTTGCATAATACCTTTTTTGTTATGTATATATGTATAGCATTATTTACTTATATATTTACGCGAATATTTATAAGTGCAATTCAGCAAACTATACCTTTTGAACAAGTTTAAATGGCAAAGCGTTGTATGTACATTTACATATATATATATCTATAGTAGGTATAATATGAAAAGTACAATGTATAATATATAAATAAAAAAATATATATATATGTGTATATATATATGTATATATATCAGTAAGCATACTGCAGTGAAACATTCATGTATATACCTAGATGTATATGAATAAATATATATATATATATTACATTTATATAAATAAATATATATAGTATATCAAACTGTAGTATATATATACCTCTATGTACAAATGTAGTGTATTAATGTAAATAAATATATATAGTATATTGATATATAGTGTATATATACCTTTATATACAAACATATATACATATATACAATAACCTATATTTATATACATATATACACATATAAAGATACACGTATATGCATGCACATTTATATATATTTATGACACATATATACCTTTTAAATGATAAATGCACTTTTAAATGAGGAAATACAGACATATACAGATAAACGTCACATTATATTTATCCACAGCTGTAGAAATGTGCAAATATTCATGCTGTATGTACACCTGAAATAGCCGCCCGCCGCAGCGGTGTCTGTACACCCCAAAATGCATGCATGCACGCGGTGTATCGACACCCCCTGAAAACGAGGAAATCGGCAGCACTTGAAGTTCTCGGAAACTATTTGCCGATTTGATGAATTTTAGAATTAAAAGAGGAACAAAGACAGTCAAAAAGAGAAAAATATTTCGAAATAATTCCCAACAGAAGAAGAACTGGCATTTGCAAGTGCAGGTCAAAAGCAAGCAAGAGAAGAAACGAAGAAGAGTCTTCTGAAGTGAAAGAAAGTGGCAGCAAGCAAATGCAAAAGAAATGGAATTAGGCAAACAGAAAAAACAAATAAGTAAAGAAATAAATAAATACTTTTTGGGGCCCCACAGGCGACTTTTTCGCCAATTACCCCCGGGCCAAAAAGGCAGCCTGGGGGCCCCCAAGTGCACAAAGGCAAACAAATGCGCCAAAGCTCCTTTATGCACTTTACCACATTTTAATAAACCATTTTGCATGCATGCAAATAGTTATTAGCATTAATGGCACAAATGGCAGTGAAGACTGCCCGCGGCTAGAAGGTCCAGGCAAAATGCCTTTCTTTGAAGTTTCTTTTTTATTTCAAATGAAACTTTTGCAAACAAATGCCAAATTCAGAACAATGAAGCATTTAAATCCAAACAAGCCGCAAAGAGGGGCTCTGCGGGCCTTCAGGGCTTCTGCAGGGGTCCTTCGCTGCAAACCCTAAACCCTAAACCCTAAACCCTAAACCCTTGACGGTTACGCTTCTTACTGCATGCCTTCTGGCCAGCATTCTATCTCTCGGGGGTTTCAGCGGCCTGTGTTCGGGCTTGAGGAGTTGCTGCTCCTCCTGTACTGCAGCTGTTGCTGCTGCTGCTGCTGCTGCTGTTGCTTGTTGCTGCTGCTGCTGCTGTTCCCCGAGCTCCTCGTAGGCAGTCGTGCTGTTGCGGCTTGCGTCTACTGCTGCTGGTAATGGTACTGGTGGTGGTGCTGGTAGTGTCGCTGCAGCAGCTGCTGCTGCTCCAGCAGCTGCTGCTGCTCCTGCTGATGCAGCAGCTGCTCCTGCTGGAGCAGCAGCTGCTGCTGCTCCTGCTGCTGGAGCAGCAGCAGTTGCTGCCGCTCCTGCAGCAGTTGCTGCTGCTGCTCCTGCTGGAGCAGCAGCAGTTGCTGCCGCTCCTGCTGCAGCAGCAGCTGTTGCTCCTGCAGCAGCAGCTGCTGCTGCTGCTCCTGCTGCAGCAGCTGCTGCTTCTGCTCCTGCAGCAGCAGCTGCTGCTCCTGCAGCAGCTGCTGCCGGTCCGGTTCCTGCAGCTGCTGCTCCTGCTCCTGCTGCACCAGCTGCGTCGCCTTCAACAGCTCCAGCTGCCGCGCTTGAGCCAAGCGGGACGGCGACCCTCCCGTTTGCTGCCGCTGCTGCTGCTGCTGCTGCGCTGCTTGCTGCAGCCGCTGCAGCCGCTGCAGCAGCTGCTCGTTTTCTTCGGTGTTTTTGTGCTGCTGCTCCTCGAAGTTCTTCTCCAACTCTCTCTTTTTCCGCAGCTCAGATCTCCGCTTCCGCAGCAAAGCTTTCCTTTGGTGCTTCAGCAGCACTTTGTCGATTTCGTCTAGCTGCTCGCGCCAGCGCAGCTGTTCCTGTTCCTCGAGTTCTTGCTGCTGCTGCTGCTGCTGCTGCTTCTGCTGGCTCTTCTTCTGCTGCTGCTTGGGGCGTTTCCGCTGCTGCCGCTTCTCCCCCTGCTGCTGCTGCTGCTGCTTCTTGGCCTCCTGCTGCTGGCGCCTCTTCTCTTCCTGCTGCTGCCGCCTCTCGAGCTCGCGCTGCTTCCGCTTTTCCATTTGCTGCTGCTTCCGCCTTTCCATCTCCTGCTGCTTCTGCTTCTCCAGCTCCTGCTGCTTCCGCCGCAGCTGCTGCAGCTTCTGTTCCTTCAGCTTCTTCCGACTCCGCATGCTGGCTTGTCTTCGTTTTTGGGCTTCGAGTTGCTGCAGCTTCTGTGCTGCAATCTGTTCCATTTGCTGCACTGAGATGCGCTGCGGCTGCTTCTTCTTGAGTTCCTGGCGGACTTCTTCTGCGGTTTTGTGCTGCATCTCCGCAGAGATTTGCTGCAGCAGCTCGGCCTCAGTGAGGGGAGTTGCTGCTGCTTGCTGCGGGCCTTCTGCAGCTTGCTGCTGCTGCTCGTGGGGGTGCGGCGGCGTTTGCTGCTGCAGCGCGTCGCCCGTTTGCTGCTGGCCGTCCTGCGCGGCTTGCTGCTGCTGCTGCTGCTGCTGCTGCTGCAGCTGCAGCGCCTCTTCTCGTTTGCGCAGCAGCTCGTCGATGTTGAGCAGCAGCTGCTGCTGCTCGCTGCAGGCGCCTTCCTCGCACTGCTGCTGCTGCTGCTGCTGCTGCTGCTGCTGCTGCTGCTGCTGCAGCTCTTCCCCGTCGGCCAGCTCCCCCTGCTGCTGCTGCTGCTGCTGCTGCAGCTGCTGCTGCCACTCCTCGTCGTCCTTCTGGAACTCCTTCCACCTGCCAAGACCCAGCCTGCGGACGGCCCCCCTGCAGAGGATCTTCTGCTTCAAAGGCACCAAAATGTAGGCCGGCGGGCGCTGCTGCCGGCGGTAGAAGTTGAGGGCTTGCTGCAGCGCGAGAGCCAACTTGTTGTTTGCTTCTGCTGACAGCCGGTAAGCAGCAGAAGCTGTGGGGCCCCTGTAGTCCGGCAAGGCTTTTACGAGGGCCCCCCACCACTGGTCCCTCCTGGCTTGGGGCCCCAGGACGGAGCTGGCAGCAAAGAGGGAGTCTGCGAGGAGCAGCGCGAAGGCCATGCGGTCTACGGTTTCTTTCGGCTTCAGCCGCCGCACGTGCTGCTGCTGCTGCTGCTGCTGCTGCTGCTGCTGCAGCAGCTGCCGCATCTCCTCGTCCTCCTCCTCGTCCTCCTCCTCCTCCTCCTCCTCCTCCTCCTCGGGCTCCCCGCGCCGCCGCCGCCGCCGCCGCTGCTGCTGCTGCTGCTGCTGCTGCTGCTGCTGCGGCAGCGGGTCGCTGTGGAAGACCGCGTGGCTCACCAGCGCCTCCAGGCTGCGCATCAGCCGCAGCAAAGAGTCGCTGCCAACTGCCGGCAACTTCAAGAGGCCCCTTATGGCTATGATGGCCAACATGGGCCACGAGGACTTGAGGCCAAGAGGCCTCAAGTTTGCTGCAGCAAAGGGCCTCACGGAGGCCCCTGGGAGGACTGTGGGGAGTCTGTAGAAGGGGTGGCTGGCCAGCTGTTCGCGCGGGCAGCCCGAGCTGCCGGCTCCTGCTGCTGCTGCTGCTGCTGCTGCTGCTAAGTACGGCGCGCTGGCCCCCGGCTGCTGCTGCGCCTCCAGCCGCAGCAGCGGCACCTTCACGCAGCACGGCTGCACGGACTGCGAAGGCGAAGAGTCTTCTGCTGCTGCTGCTGCTGCTGCTGCTGCTGCTTCCAGCGCTGCGTCCGTTGCTGCTTCTGCGGAGTCCGGAGACGCCGCTGGCGAGTCACCCGCTGCTTCCACCGAGGCGCACTCAGCTTCTGCTGCTCCCGCGGGACTCTCCGCTGCTGCTGCTGCTGCTGCTGCTGCTGCTGCTTCTGCTGCTTCTGCTGCTTCTGCTTCTGGGCTTTCTGCTGTTGCGGACGATGACGAGGATCTTCTTGAGGCGCCTCCTGGGGATCGGGGTGGCTCTGCGGCTGCTGCTGCTGCTGCTGATGAGGGGCTTTCTGCTGCTGCTGCTGGTGATGGGGATGGACCTGCTGCTGCTGCTGGTGATGGGGATGGCCCTGCTGCTCCTGCTGGTGATGGGGATGGACCTGCTGCTGCTGCTGGTGATGGGGATGGTCCTGCTGCCGCTGCTGCTGATGGTGATGGTCCTGCTGCTGCTGCTGCTGATGGTGATGGTCCTGCGGCTGCTGCTGCTGATGGTGATGGTTCTGCGGCTGCTGCTGCTGGTGATGGTGGTTCTGCTGCTGCTGCTGATGGTGATGCTGGTTCTGCTGCTGCTGCTGCTGGTGATGAAGGTCCTGCTGCTGCCGGTGATGAAGGTCCTGCTGCTGCTGCTGCTGGTGATGAAGGTCCTGCTGCTGCTTCTGAGGTTTCTGCCGCTAGGCCTGCTGCTGGTCCTGCTGCTGGGCTTTCTGCAGGCTCTGCTGCTGCTGCTGCTGCTGCTGCTGGTGAGGGCGCAGGGGATCCGGCAAGCACCAAAAAGGCGGACGGGGCAGGCTGGGGACTCTGTTGCTGCGCTTCTGCTGCTGCTGCTGCTGCTGCTGCTGCCTCTGCTGCGCCTTTTTCGGCTTCCGCAGCCTCAGCTGCTACTGCTGCTGCTGCTGCTGCTGCTGCTTCTGCCGCTATATCTGCTGCTGCTTGCAGGGCAGGCAACGCAGGTATCTGAGGAGAAGCAAAAGGAACAGAAGCCACAACAAACAGCAGCAGCAGCAGCAGGACTCTTTTCTTGAAAAACAAGAAATCGCTTTTAATTGCAAAAGGATTTAATGCAAACAGCCAAGCATTTTCGCAAAAAGCCCCAAAAGTATTATTTGAATTAATAAAAAAACGCATGCACAAAGTCTCAATGACTTGCAGCAGCACAAGTCTGGGGTGTACGTACACCGCATTTTAAATGCAACCAAATGCGCATTAAAGCAGAAAATGAAAGTTAAATAAATAAAGAAACATTAAACACTATTAGGCAAATAATATATATATATTTATGAATTTATAAAAGTGTTTAAGCCAGAAAAAGCCTATGTACAAGTATATAAACATATATACATATGTAATACTTTATGTATATTTATTCGTAGGGGCATTTAAGGCATATGAGACAATCAGGCACCAAATTGTCCATCTTTATATTTACAAATACTTCACAATATATGTACATTTATATATATAAGTAAATAATAACATATATAAGAATAAATATTTATATATAAATATATAAATGTATAAATATATAAGTATATAAATATATAAGTATATAAATATATAAATATATAAATATATAAATATAAATATACATAAATATGTAAATGTGTAAATGAATGAAGAGGGCCAAAAGGCTCTGGACTTAAAAAAGGCAAAGCGGGCCAAAAGTGCAAATGGAAGAAATACCATTTGCAACAAAGTGCAGCAAAAAAGAAAAATAAAAGCCTTTAAAAGGAGAAAAAGAAAATAAAAAAAGAAACAAAAGAAACTCTTCAAAAGACAAGTCCAATAAATATAACTTCAGCAGCAAAAAGACACAACTGCAGCAAACTTACAGAACCTCTGGGCCTTCTGTACGAATCTCGGCCGCGGGGCCCCTGGCGCCCCCGGGGCCCCCAGGGCCCACTCAGCTTGGGGGCCCTCGGGGGGCCCCCAGGTCTTTTGGGGCTGGTGAGGGCTTCCTCCAGCGGGGGGGGCCCCGGGGGCCCCCCCCCGCTGCTGCTGCTGCTGCTGCTGCTGCTGCTGCTGAGGGCCCCCTGAATGGAGCTCTCCAGCAGCGGGGGCTCCCCAGAGCTGCTGCTGCCGCTGAGGCCCTCCAACATGGGCCCCTCCAGCAGCGGGGGCCCCACGGGGGCCCCCGCGCTGCTGCTGGAGGGCCCCCCCATGGGCCCCTTCAGCGGAGGGGGCCCCACGGGGCCCCCCGAGCTGCTGCTGCTGCTGCTGCTGCTGCTGCTCGGGAGGGGCCCCTCGAGAGTGGGGGGCCCCGGGGGGCCCCCCGGAGCAGAAGTAAGGGCCCGCAGCAAACAATCCAAGGAGGACATTCGGGCACAGTTTCGAACATCGGAGGCCCCCAGAAGTCCCAGCAAATGGGAGCAAAGGACAGGGAACTTTTGGACATTAGAAGGGAGCTGCAGCTGGGGCTGCTGCAGCTGCTGCTGCAGCTGCTGCTGCAGCTTCTGCAGCTGCTGCGGGTTCTGCAGCTGTTGCTGCTGCTGCTGCAGCAGCTGCTGCTGCTGCTCCAGCTGCTGCTGCTGCAGCTGCAGCTGCACCTGCTGCTGCTGCAGCTGCTCCAGCTGCTGCTGCAGCTGCTGCTGCTGTAGCTGCTGCTCCAGATGCTGCTGAAGCCGCTGCTGAATGTGCTTCTGCAGCTGCTCCTGCAGCAGCTGTTGCTGCTGCTGCTCCCCCTCCTCCTCCTCCTGCAGCTGCTGCAGTCGTTGCAGCTGCTGCTCACCCTCCGGCGGCTGCTGGTGTTCAAATTGTTGTTGCTGCTGTTCCTGCTGCTGCTGCTGCTGCTGTTGTTTTTGTTGTTGTTGCTGCTGTTGTTGCTGCTGCTGTTGTTGTTCTTGTTGTTCTTGTTTTTGTTGCTTCTGCCGCTCCAGCAGCGCCTGCTGCTGCTGCTGTTCTTCTGGCTGCTGCAGCTGCTGCAGCAGCTGCAGCAGCAGCTGCTGCTGCTGCTGGCCGCTGGCTCTTGGCTCTTCTGCATTGCCGTCCATAGAGTCTACTGCTATCTCTTTCACATCTTCTGGCTCTCCTTTCTCATTTTCCCATTTAATTTTCTTTCCCTCTTCCTCTTCTTCCTCTGTTGTTTCATTTGCTGCTTCTGGTGGCCCTGCAGCAGCAGCAGCAGCAGCAGCAGCTGCTGCTGCTGCGGGGGAGTTTGCGGCATCGCCTCGTGCTTCTTTCTGTGTGTCTTCTGCTGCAGTTTGCTGCTCCGCTGCTTCCCGCCTGACCCTCTTTAGCTGCTGCTGCTGCTGCTGCTGCTCTGCAGCAGCAGCAGCATCGTCAGGGCTGCCTGCTGACTCTTCACGGGTTCGCTTCTGGGGCCTTTGGCCATCCCACTCCTCCACTGCTGCTGCTGCTGCTGCTGCTGCTGCTGCTGCTGCTGCTGGGGAAGCAGCGGGGCTGTCGGGGGGGCCCTCGTCCGCGTCTTCTGTGTCTTCTTGACTTTCGTCTTCTGCTGCTGCTGCTTCTGGACTCCAAGGAATTCCCATGGAAGGATTCAGCAGCCACTCTTCGAAGTTAGCAGCATCTTCATCAGCTTCGAGCAGCAGCAGCTTCTCATCGAGGTCATCTGGCAGCAGCTCGGGGTCCTCATCGTCTTCTCCAGCATCAGCTGTGTCTTCGTCTTCTGCTGCTGCTGCTGCTGCTGCTGCTGCTGCTTCGTCCGAGCTTGTTGCGCTCAAAGTGCTCTCCGTGCTGCAGCTGATCGGCCGGTCCCTGGGGACCAGCAGCAGCCGCTGCTGCTGCTGCTGCTCTTCTTTAGAACAAGGAAAAGAAACTTCTGTGCTATTTAGTTCTTCTTTGCCTTCTGTTGGCTCGCCGGGCTCCGCAGCAGCAGCAGCAGCAGCAGCAGCAGCAGCAGGAGTCGCAGGCGCTTCCGCCAACGGGTCCAGCACCCACTCTGCCAGTGCAGCAGCAGCAGCAGCACCGTCGTCGCCGTCTGCAGCAAGAGCTTCTTCAATGTAATGTGTCACTGAGTTATTCGGGTCCAGCCCTTCCTCCACCTCAGCCTCAGCCTCAGCAGCAGCAGCAGCAGCAGCAGCAGCAGCAGCAGCATCTTCATCGGCTGCTGCTGCAGCAACTGCCGGGTCACCCCCAAAATCTGCCCCAAGAACATCCCCAGGGGCCCCCTCAAAGGACCCCTCGGGGGCCTCCCAATGGGGCCCCAGGAGCAACTTCGTAAATTCCCCCATGGGGGCCCCCAGGGGGCCCCCCAGGGGGTCCTCCTGGGCCGTCCCCAGGGGGGCCTCGGGGGGCCCCCCCAGGGGGCCCCCCTGGGGCCCCTCGGGAGGCCCCCTCACGCCCGAAGAGTCCTCCGAATTGGAGGAGTCCACAACAAGGAAGGGCCCCGAAAAGTTCCCGGAGTCCGCTGACGTTGGGGGCCCCTGGGGGGCCCCCACCACTAGGGGCCCCCCAGGGGCCAGGGGGGCCCCCGAGGCCATGGGGGCCCCCGGGTCCAGGGGGCCCCCGGAGGAAAGGGGGGCCCCCGGGTCCAGGGGGCCCCCGGAGGAAAGGGGGGCCCCCGGGTCCAGGGGGGCCCCGGAGGCAAGGGGGGCCCCCGGGTCCAGGGGGCCCCCGGAGGCAAGGGGGGCCCCCGGGTCCAGGGGGCCCCCGGAGGGCACGGCGCCCTCCGACACAAGGGAGCCCCTCGAGGCCAGAGGGGCCCCCGGATCCAGGGGGTCCCCCGAGACCAAGGGGGCCCCAGGGTCCAAGGGGCCCCCGGAGGGGAGGGGGCCCCCCGAGGCCGGGGGTGCCCCGGACGACAAGGGGGCCCCCAAGACCGAGGCCACGGGGACCCCGGAGGGCAGGGGCACCCCCAAGGGGCCCCCGAAAGGGGCCCCCAAGGGGGCCCCCAAAGGGCCCCCCAGGGGGCCCCTCAGGCCGTCGGTGCCAGAAGGGGCAATAGGAAACCCAAAGAGCGTGGTCCGCAAAAGGGAGTCATAGGGGGCCCCCGGGGCAGCCCCAAGGGGCCCCCCAGGGCCCGTGGGGGCCCCGGGGGCCCCGGAGGACCCAAGGGGGCCCCCAGGGGCCCCAGGGACGGCGCCAAAGGGCCCCGGGGGGCCCACGGAGGCCCTATGGGGGCCAAAGGGGCCCCCGGGGACAGACCCAAACGCATCTAATTGACCAAAGGCCCTTAAAGGGACAATATGGGGCCCCTGGGACCCATAGGGCGCCCCAGGCACAGCAGCAAAGCCAGCCAGGGGGCCCAGGGGGCCCCCAAAGGGCTTAACGGAGGCTACGTGGGGCCCCGCAGCAGTCCCAAGGCCATGTAGCTGACTCAGGGCATCCCGAGGGTCCACAGGGGGCCCCACGGGGGCCCCCACATGGGCCCCCATGGCGGCCCCCACAGGGGCCCCCGCGGGCCCATGGGGCCCCACCGCCGCAGCGCTAGGGGCCCCCCGAGGGTCCAGAGGGGCCCCCGAAGGCCCGTAGTGCCCTGCTGCCACTGGAATAAGGCCACCCATGGGGCCCACAAGGGGGGCCCCTGAGGACGCAAAGGGGCCCCCGGGGAAGGCCTGGAAGGCCCCCAGGGGCCCCAGGGTACCCAGAGGGTTCGCAGGGGCCCCCGGGGGCCCATGAGACCCACCAGCCACAGCACCCAGGCCTGCCAGAGGGTTCAAGGGGGGCCCCAGGGTCCCAAAGAAGCCCCCAGGAACTCCAAAAGTCGTCAGGGGGCCCCTGGGGGCCCCCGCGCCCAGAGGGGCCCCCGACTGCCCCACCAGCCACGGCGCTGCGGGGCCAAAGATTTCCACGGGGGCCCCTGGGGCCCCATAGGCGGAGCCCCACACAGAACCCCGGGGGCCCCCGGGGGCCCCCAGGGAGGCTGCGCTGCTGCTGGGGGCCCCGAAGGCATCAGGACCCAGGCCAGACTCGGGGGCCCCCTGAGCGAGATGAGAGTTTTCCGCAGCTTTTACCAGCCACTCAGAAGCAGCGAAGCTCCAGTGGGGCCCCCGGGCCCCTGGTACTCCAGGGCCTTCGCGGGCCCCAAGGTCACGTGGGAGCCCCTGGGGCCCCAGGGGCCCCTGGGGCCCCAGGGGCCCTTGGGGCCCCAGGGGCCCCTGGGGCCCCAGGGGCCTCTGGGGCCCCAGGAGCGCCTGAGGTCCCAGGGGCCCGTGGGGTCCCAGGGGCCCCTGAGGCCCCTGGGGGCCCTGGGGCCCCTGGAGCCCCGGGGTGCCCTGGGGCCCCTGGGGCCCCTGGGGCCCCTGGGTCGAAAAGGGTCTAAGGACTGCCACTGCCTGAGCAGTTCCATCTTGATTTGTTCTTCTCCTTTTCGCCTGAGGTGCCTCTCCATCAAAAAGTCTCTTTACGAAATGGGGAAAGGGCCGGCTCTCCTGGGGGGCCCCCACGGGGGCCCCCACGGGGGCCCCCACGGGGGCCCCCATGGGGGGCCCCACGGGGGTCACCCCCATGGGTGGGGACCCCAGCTGGGGCCCCACGGGGGTCGCCCCCATGGGGGGGGACCCCAGCTGGGGCCCCACGGGGGCCCCCACGGGAGACCCCAGGTGGGGCCCCACGGGGGCCCCCACCACGGGGGCCCCCACGGGAGACCCCAGTTGGGGCCCCACGGGGGCCCCCGAGGGGGCCCTCGAGGAGGTCCTCAACGGGGTACCCATTTGCACGGCCACGGGGGCCCCCAAGGGGTTCTCCACGGGGGCCCCCAAGGGGGCCCCCAAGGGGGCCTCCTGGGGTTCCCCAAAGGGGGCATCCAGGGGGGCCCCCAAGTGGGTGTCCAAGGGGGCCTCTACGGGGGCCCCTGTGAGGGGCCCCGAGGGGGCCCCCACAGGGGCCCCCGTAGGGTCACTAGTTAGGTCTCCTTCTGCTTGTGGAAAAGCCCCAAAACTTGTCTCTGCAGCCTCGGGGCCCCCACAAATGGTACCCCCAAGGGGGGCCCCCCAGTTCCCCCAGGGGCCCCACTGGTCCCCCTCTCCGGCCCCAGAGCCCGCCAGCCGCCGCCCCTGAGGGTACTGGGGGGCCCCCAGGTGCCTGGGGGCCCCCCGGGGGCCCCCGGGGCCCCGCAGAGCACAAAGAGACAAAATGTACAGAACTGCAGCAATGGAAATCAAGACCCCAGGGCCCACCAAGAGGGGCCTCGGGGGCCTCAGGGGCCCCGGGGGCCCCGAAGACCGGGGGGCCCCTGCAACCCCGGGGGGCCCCCGAAGCCTGGCTGTCGCAGGGGGCCCCCAAGTGACCGCAGGCTCGGGGGGCCCCTGGGGGCCCCCGAGGGGGCCCCCAGAAGCACCGCTGTGGGGCCCCCGCAGCTGGTCAGCTGGGGCCGCCTCTACACTTAATGGAAGGGCCGCCATGAACTTTGGCTGGGAAAAACCCTAAACCCTAAACCCTAAACCCTAAACCCTAGGCCCTAAGGCGCAAACGGTGGACCCTAGTCCAGAAGACCCTTGGGGAAGGAGTGGTGCGGGTTATCTGCCATGAGATGCGAATGCAGCGACCTCGGAATGCTGCTGCTGCTGCTGCTGCTGCTGCAGCTGCTTCAGCTGCTGCTGCTGCTGCAGCGGTCAGTGCTGCTGGCTGCAACGCTGCATGCAGCAGCTGCTAGTGTCTGCTGCAGCTGCGTGCTGCTGGGCGTTGCTGCTGCTGCTTGCGTCTGCTGCGGGCGCTTCTGGGGCGGCTGCAGCGGCGAATTCGGCTGCTGCTGCTGCTGCTGCTGCTGCTGCTGCTGCACGGCAGCAGCCGCGAACTGTGGGGCCCAGGGCCATGCAACAAAGACTCCACGCAGAACAACTCTCGAACTCAACCGGAATTAATTTAAAAGACTTAAAAGGACACAGAAGAGCTGCTGCGGTCCACGGGGGGAGGAGGGGGGCGAGTCACTGCAGCAGACAGCGGCTTTTCGCGGCCGCGGCGGAGCACAGCGGGGTCCGAAGCAGCACAGTTGCATTAAATGGTATTTAAAAACAAATAAAAGGAAAAAACAATTCTTTAAAAAGGAGGAAACGGGCGAGCCCGCTCTGTCGCCTCTCCCGGCTCGTTCTCTAGAGAGGCTGGCTGCACGGCGCTGCGACCGCTGCCGCGTGGTGGGGTGTTTTGCAATTTCTTGCTGCTCCGACGACAAATAATACTTTTTTGAATTTATAATTCATTTTTAAATTTGAAATTGAATTCCTCCGCGGCACACTTCCCTCGGCGGCGGCTGGCGCTGCCGCTGTCGCCGAGGCTGCACCAGAACATCGAGTTGCGGGTGTTCGGATCTCCCGAAGACCTGCGCCCCGTTTTCCCCCAAAATAACCCAATTCAATGAATTTTTTGCTTTTATTTTTCTCTATTTGTCTTAGGCTTTTCATTCCCTCCATTTTGGTGTGCCTCGAGCTGCAGGAAACGCCCGAGATCGCCTCGAGAGTCAGGTTCTGGGTCCCGGCATCCCGAGTGTTCTTCACCTCCCGGCGCAGACACAGGAAAGCTGGAACTGCCTCTGCTCCTCTTTTGTTTATTTATTATTTATTTAAAACTATTTAAAGTCTTAAAGGCCCTTTTGGGCTTTCTGGGGGCCTCGCTGCCTCTCAATGGCCTGCACTGCAACCCCTGCAGGACTCGCCAGCTGCAGCAGCAGCACCACTTGCTGCAGCAGCAGCCCCTGCTGCTGCCTACACTGGGCTGCTGCAGCACACAGAGAATGCGGCTGCAGCTCAGATAGCAGGGGCCTCCTCAGGGGCCCCTTTGGGGGCCCCTTGAGGGGCCCCCCGCCCGTCAGAGGCCTCCACGCCTACGGGATAGCGGGGGGCCCCTTCAACTTCTTAATGGGGCCCCTCAAGCCTCCTAAGGGGGGCCCCCAAGGCCCCCAATAAGACCCCTGGGGGCCCTTGGGGGCCCCTCGGGCTCCTAAATGGGCCTCTTGGGGCTTCCAAAAGGGGGCCTTGATGCCCCTAAATAGGGCCTTTGGGGCCCCTAGGGGGGCCCCTTGGGGCCCCCAAATAAGCCACGAAAAAATCCACAAAAGGGTTCTAAGATGGTACTACTTTGGGGCTTTTAACGGGGGCCCCAGGGGCCCCTTAGGGGCCCCCTGGGGCCCCCTAAGGGGATAATAGGGAGGCCCAAAGGGGCCCTTATTGGGGATTCAAAATAAGACTTTAAGGCCGCCAAATATAGGCCATTAAAAAGCCCCCAGAAGGCGGTGCATGCGCTAAGGGGCGTTAGCTGCCTCCTCTGCCGCTGCTTCTTGCTGCTGCTGCTGCTGCTGCTGCTGCTGCTGCTGCTGCTGCTGCTGCTGCCGCTACTGCCGCTGCTGCTGGCACGGGGTCTTCAGCTCCTTAAAAGGATCTATGAGCTGCCTGCACTGAAGAAAGCCAGGGGCCCCTAGGGGCACCAGGGGCCCCCAGGGGCCCCTCTGGCCCATAGCCTGGGGGCCCCACAGCTAACTAGGCTGCGGGGCTGTGGGGCCCCCAGGAGACCCCAAAAGCTGCACGAATTAACGTGCAAAAACATATTTAGGTCTTTTTGTCCAGAAATGTCTTCTTGGGGGCCCCCTCAGGGCCCCACAGAAGACCTCACAGGGGTCCCTGAGGGGCCCCACAGAAGACCCTACAGGGGCCCCTGAGGGGGCCCCGAAAATGGCTCTAAGGCCCCCATAGGGGCCCCAGGGGGCCTCCTGTGGGGCCTCCTCTGTGGGGGCCCCCAAGGGGGCCCCTCTCACGAGGACCCTTTCTGTGGGGGGCCCCCAGGGGGGCCCTTATGGGGCCCCTGTGGGTGTTTGGCAGTGCAGCAGTTTGAAGTTTGAAAAGTCTGAAAGGCACAGCTGAGAGAGAAGCACGGGAGTCTAAGCGAAACCCTAAACCCTAAACCCTAAACCCTAAACCCTTACCAGTGACGCGTAGCTCACTGGTGAGGGTTTAGGGTTTAGGGTTTGCGCAGTCTGCGCAGTTGGGATAAACTGCAGAGGTGGGCCCCCTGATTTGGTTTTGTTAAATACTTTTTTCTTTTTTGTTTATTTTGAATTAATTAACTTCAGACCCAATCTAAGGGGCCCCCAGCCCTGCAGCATTTTATGTTTCCTTTAACTCAAGTTTTGCACAAGTATTTAATTAATTTATTATTTTAAAATTATTTTTAGAAGTATATTCTGAAGGCCACTTGGCTCCTTTGGAGGCAGAACGCGCAGGAAGTGGGATTTAGGCTTTAGGGTTTAGGGTTTAGGGTTTAGGGTTAGGTTTTAGGGTTTGGGGTTTAGGGTTTGGGGTTTAGGGTACTTTGCCCCATGCAGTCTAACAATAGATTAGAAGTTTAAAAGCCTTTTTAATTTATATTTTTGTTTTATTATTTATATTTTTATTTCCCCAAAAGAGGACTTGTGCGGATTTTCACTTTTGGGAAGTTGGATTTTGATATTCTTCTTCAAAAAGACAAACTTTTAAATCAATTGAATTTAAAAAAATTAAAATTTTTATATTTGGCAAACTTCAAAGCTCCTCGCGTCTTTGGTTCTTTTTGTAAGCTGAGCTGTACAGACACTCAAACGCAGCTACGCTAACCCACACTCCATGCGCTAAAGGGGGCCCCCAGGGGGCCCCCAGGGGGCCCCCTGGGGGCCCCCTGGGGGCCCCGTAGGGGCCCCTTGAAGACCCCTAGGGGGCCCCTTACGGAGCCCCTTGGGGGCCCCCAAGGGTCCCCAAAACGCCCTCAAGGGGCCCACAATGGGCCCCCAGAAGACCCCTTAAAGGGCCCCACAAAGGGCCCCTTGGGGGGCCCCCTACAGGGCCCCCCAAGGGGGCCTCCAAGGGGCCCCTTTGAGTGCATGCGCCTCCAGGGGCCCCTTGAGGGGCCCCCCAAGGGGCCCCTCGACTGCATGCGCTTTTAAGGGCCCCCTATAGGACCCTTTTTGAGGACCTTTTGGAGCATCTGATGGCGAAAAAATTCCGTTTTAGATCTTTTGAATTCTTTTTGGATTTCGTCTCCGCAAAAAAGACTTAATTGGGATTTGCCTTTATTCGGGAGTCGCGCACATATCCTCCAGTGCTGCTGCTGCTGCTGTGGTTTAGGGTTTAGGGTTTAGGGTCCAGAACTTAGGGTTTAGGGCTTTGGGCTTAGGGTTTAAAGATTAAGGCTTAGGGCATAGTGCTTAGCTTATTCGGAAGCAGCGCAAATATCCGCCGGCGCTTCTGCTGCTGCTGCTGCTGCTGCTGCAGCAGCAGCAGCAGCAAACCCAGAAGCAAAACTTTCTGACACAAATTGTGCCACTCTAGTTCCTGGAGATTGCAAGAAAGAAGGAGCATTATTTGAAGTTGTCAAATGGAAGATTTCAAATATCTTTCAAGACAGCAACTTTGCATGCATTCTGGTGTACGTACAGCTGCGCTGTGAATTTTTCGGCGAAAATTGGCCTTTGGGCTGAGGTGTACGTACACCTGAGGGTTTGTGGGGCCCCACAAGCGCCCGCTGCATGCGTTTTTGTGGGGCAATTATTTCTTTTCTTTTTGGGTTTTTACCTCTTCAAAGTTTCTTTTAAAAAGTCCTTTAAATGGACCTTTTTGGGCCTTTCCAGATTTCCAAAAAGCCCCAAAAGAGCAGCAGCAGCAGCAGCGGACTTTCAGGTGTACGTACACCCCAACTCCACGCTCGGGAACTCACACGGCTGCTCTTCGAGTGTATAGGCAGCCATGGCCAAACCCTAAACCCTAAACCCTAAACCCTGAACCCTAAACCCTAAACTCTAAACCCTAAACTCTAAACCCTAAACCCTAAACCCTCTTGGACTCACTAACTGGAAGTTCCCCTGCAGCTGCGTAGGCTCCTGCGCTGTACGTACACCTCAGACACATGCAGTGGCGCCACTCGCTGCTGCTGCTGCTGCTGCTGCTGCACTCAGCTGCATGCAACTCTGCTGCTGCTGCTGCTGTTTCTGCTGCTTCTGCAGCTCCTGGGGTGTCTGTTGCTCTTGATGCTCCCGCTGCTGCTGCTGCTCGTGACGCTGCTGCTGCTGCAACTGCTGCTGCTGCTGCTGCTGCTGCTGCTGCTGCTGTTAGCTCCAGTTGGCTTCAGTAAGCTGCAGTTGGCTGCAGCTAGTTGCACGTAACTCTGCTGCTGCTGCTGCTGCTGCTGCTGCTGCTGCTCGCGCTGCTGCTGCTGCTAGCTGTAGCAAAGTCTTTCTTATTTGCAGGCCCTCAGCGGAAGCGGCAGAGCTCTGGGAGCTAAACCCTAAACCCTAAACCCTAAACCCTAAACCACAAACCCTAAACCCTAAACCCTCTACGGCGGCTGCTGCGTTGCTTGTATTGCTACTGGGGTGTGTACACACTTCGCACTGTCAGTGCATTCAGCAGCAGCAGCGAGGGTTTAGGACTGAGGGTTTAGGGTTTAGGGTTTGCGGCTATTCTCGCCACTAAACCCTAAACCCTAAGGGTCTCCGGAGCATTACTGGAAGCTCAGTTGAGAAAACTCAGTTGTCTAGACTTCGGAACTGCTCTTCGGCCGCGCTCTGCTAGGGTTTAGGGTTTAGGGTTTAGGGTTTAGGGTTTGGCGGGTAGGTTTGAGGGCCCAAAGCTCTGAGTCTAGGGTTTAGGGTTTAGGGTTTAGGGTTTAGAGGGCTGCAGAGGGAGTTGCTGTACTGCAGAACGTCTGATACGGCGAAGCTGGTAAGAGAGCGCCTGCTGACTCAGGGTTCAGGGTTTAGGGTTTAGGGTTTAGGGTTTAGGGTTTAGGGTTCACTAGGCTTGAGGGTTTTCTCCCTTTTTATTTAAGCTAGTTGAAGTTTCTGCTGGAGAAAAATAAACCGCGCATTTAGGGTTTATGTGGGGTTTGGGCCGACAGCAGTACTGCTGGAGCCCCCGTGTGCAGCAAACCCTAAACCCTAAACCCTAAACCCTAAACCCTAAACCCTAGGTCCTAAACCCTCTAACAACGATTAAGCGAAATATATCTCGCTTTTTTTTCTTTACGCCTTTGCCTGCAGGTCGATTCGAAATTGCTAGGTGTAGACTCTAAACCCTAAACCCTAAACCCTCATCCTGGTTAGGGTTTAGCTGAAACGTGCGCCCCACAGCGGGTTCTTCTTCTTATTTTTTTGTTTTTCATCACGAGGGTTTAGGGTTTAGGGTTTAGGGTTTACGTGGCCAGAAACTGCCACCCTGTTTGCGAGCAAATTCGCTGCGCAGCAGACTGGGGGCCCCCAGCAGCAGCAGCAGCAGCAGCAGCGTCAACAGCAGCAGCGGCAGCAGCAACAGCAGCAGCAGCAGCGCAAACTGAAACAGTTGAACACCACCCGCCGCAGCAGCAGCAGCAACAAGAGCGAGGACGCCTGCAGCAACACTCTGCTGCTGCTGCTGCTGCTGCTGCTGCTGATGCCGCGACTGCTGCTACAATTGCTGCTCCAGGGAAGCGACAGCTGCAGCAACAACAGCTGCAGCAGGAGCAACTGAAGCAGCAGCTGCAGCAGCAGCAGCAGCTGCATTAGCTGCAGCAGACGCTGCTCCTGCAGAATCCCGACAGGAGGCAGCAGCCCAGCAGCAGCAGCAGCAGCAGCAGCAGCAGCAGCAGCAGCGCGCGCGATGCTCTCCACCGCCGGCCTTGGGCCACTATGCATGCAGAGCAGCGAGTTTGAGACAGAGCAGCAGCAGCAGCAGCAGCAGCAGCAGCCGCGGCAGCAGCAGCAGCAGCCTCAGGGCGGATCGCAACAGCAGCAGCCGAAGCAGCAGCAACCGCAGCTGCAGCAACAGCAGGCACAGCAGCAGCGACGAGGGAGGCAAGAAGGGAAGCAACCACAAGAGCCGCCGCAGCTGCAGCAGCAGCAGCAGCAGCAGCAGCAGAAGCAACAGCAGCAGCAACAGCAGCAGCAGCACATGCTAGCCATGAGCGCTGGAGCAGCAACGCTTCGAGGTCATGAGTACGTCGCGCCACAGCTGCTGCAGCCGCAGCAGCAAAAGCAGAAGCAGCTGCAGCAGCAGCAGCAGCAGCAGCAGCAGCAGCCCGTGCTGCACCTGCAGCAACATGTGAACGAAGATATGCAGGAGCGGCAGCGCAGCCCATTGCGGCAGCAGCAGCATCCGCAACAGCAGCATCCGCAACAGCAACAGCAGCAGCTGCAGCAGCAGCAGCTGCAGCAGCAACAGCAGCTGCAGCAGCAGCAACAGCAGCTGCAGCAGCAGCAACAGCAACAGCAGCAGCTGCAGCAGCAACAGCAGCAACAGCAGCAGTCGCCGCAGCAGCAGCATCCGCAACAGCAACAGCAGCAACAACAGCAGCAGCAGCAACAACGGCAACGGCAGCAGCAGCAGCAGCAGCTGCAGCAGCAGCAGCAGCAAGCCCTGAGCGAGCTCAGGCGCCGCATCGTCGCCGGCAAACGCCACCGCTGGCTGCTGCCACAGGAGAACCCTTCTGAAAGCAGCAGCAGCAGCAGCAGCAGCAGCAGCAGCAGCAGCAGCAGCAGCAGCAGCAGCAGCAGCAAGCCAGCGCAGCTGCTTAAACTGTGTGACTGGGGGGAAGCAGCATTTTACTTTTGGGTCAATGCCCAGGGGGCCCCCCCCTTGACTTTCCTCCGAAGACCCCCATAGCGTGTCTGCTGAGTAGCTGCAAAGCTTCAGTTGCTGCTGCTGCTGCAGCACGAGACGCTGCTGCAGCAGCTGCTGCAGCGCGGGATGCTGCTGCTGCTGCTGCTGCTGCTGCTGCTCCAGCAGCAGCCGCGGGGCCCCTCACTTTAGAGTTTCCCTCGGCGTTGGTGGTGCATGCGCTGCAGCAAAAGGCAGCAGCAGCACCCAACGTTGCGGAAGCAGCATGCAGCAGCAGCAGCTGCTGCTGCTGCTCGGGCACTTGCAGCAGCAGCAGCAGTTGCAGCAGCAGCAGCAGCAATGTGGCGCGTGAGCTGCTGCAGCTGCTGCCGCGCTGCTACCGGGTTTACTGGGAGCATAATTGGGAGCCACTCGACGTGGAACCCAGCAGCAGCAGCAGCAGCAGCAGCAGCAGCAGCAGCTCAGCCACCCCCTGCAGCAGCAGCAGCAGCAGCTCAGCCACTCCATACAGCAGCAGCAGCAGCAGCGTCTCGTCGACCAGCAGCAGCAGCAGCAGCAGCAGCGCCTTGCCTCCGCAGAGCGCGAGCTCGGCCGCCCCCAGCAGCAGCCCGCGCACCAGCAGCACCAGCAGCAGCAGCAGCAGCAGCAGCAGCAGCAGCAGCAGCAGCAGCAGCAGCAGCTTGTTTCGCTGCGCAGTGCAGCTGCTGGACGTCTGTGGGGCCCTCGGGGCTGCATGCATTATGGACTTGAAGATGGGGCGGCAAATGCACAGCGAAGCTTCAGACCCTGTGAAGGCCAGGCGCATGCAGCAAAAGGCTGAAAACAGGTCAAACCCTAAACCCTAAACCCTAAACCCTAAACCCTAGCCCCTGGACCCTAGAGGCGCAGTGGCGCACGCGGGAGCTGCGAAGGCACCCAGACAAGAAAACCCGGGCAAAAAAGATGACAGAACAGCAATGCTGCTGTTGTTATTGCTGCTGCTGCTGCTGCTGCTGCTGCTGCTGCTGCTGTTGCTGCTGCTGCTGCTGCAGGTCTTTTGCAACTCATGGCTTTGCCGTTTGCGGCGTAGCGGCGCCTTGTAAGACAAGGCCGAGAGCAACCCCTCCTGCTGCTGCTGCTGCTGCAGCTGCTGCCGCTGCTGCTGCAGCTCCTGCTGCAGCTGCTGCAGCAGCTCCTGCTGCAGCGCTCGCTGTAGCTCCTGCTGCAGCAGCTGCTGCAGCTCCTGCTGCAGCAGAAGCCTTAAAGGAGAGGTCCCGGGTGTCTGCTTCCTCCGGCGAGTGTGCTGCTGCCCCCGCTGCCGCAGGAGATCGCGCAGCAGCAGCAGCAGCAGCAGCACCAGCAGCAGCAGCAGCAGCAGCAGCAGCAGGGAGCGACGCAGCTCGTTTCCCGCCGCCGGGCTCCGTGCTGCTGGCGCCTGCTGCTGCGCATGCGCTGAAGAGCGACGGGGCTTTCTTGTCTTTGTTTGAGAGTTTCTTCGGAGTGAACAGCAGCAGCAAACTGACGCTGCGGCTGCTGCTGCAGTGCCAGCAGCAGCTGCTGCCGGTGCTTTCCTTCTTCAGCTCCCAGTCCCTCTTCGCCTTCCACGGCTCTTCTTTGCTGCTGGTCTATGACGCAGACCCTCCCCCGCCCCCAGATGCTGCGCGCTGCTGCCCCTTCAGCAGCAGCAGCAGCAGCAGCAGCAGCAGCAGCAGTGGCGGCAGCAGCAGGGCCGCCGGCGACGGTGGCAGTCCTGGTGGCAGCAGCAGCAGCAGCAGCAGCAGCAGCGCGTCGCGGCCACGAGCTGCGGGACCAGCTCCGCCCGCCACCCCCAGCAGCAGCAGCAGCAGCAGCAGCAGCAGCAGCAGCAGCAGCAGCAGCGGGGAGTGGTGCTGCAGCAGCTGCGCAGAAGACGCAGTAGTTGCTTCTGTCTCCGTTTACATGGTGGACTTCGCCCACGTGTCTCTGCTGTCTCGACGGCCCAGAGACGAGGGCTATCTCTTTGGGCTGCACAACCTGCAGCGGCTGCTGCAGGCCCTCATAGGCCAGCTGCAGCAGCAGCAGCAGCAGCAGCAGCAGCAGCAGCAGCAGCAGCAGCGGCAGCGGTAGCGGTAGCAGGGCAGCGAGAGTCGGAGGAGTGGCGCTGGCTGCAGCAGCAGCAGGTGCAGCAGCAGGTGCAGCAGCGGCGACGGCCGAGACAGCAACTGCGGCCAAACGGATACCCTCCTCACTGCTGCTGCTGCTGCTGCTGCTGCTGCTGCTGCGTGTACTGCTGCTGCTGCGTTTGTGACTGCAGCAGCTGCTGCTGCCGCGACAGCCTGCCAACAGGCGCCGGCCCTCGTTGCTGCTGCTGTGCAGAGAGCCGTACAGGGTTGGGCTCGCAGCAGCAGCAACAGCAGCAACAGCAGCAGCAGCAACAGCAGCAACAGCATGTGGTGTTCTCACTGACGAAGCGTTTTCCTTCATTGGCTGCAGCAGCAGCAGTTGCTGCTGCTGTACTAGCTGCCCTTGACCATTTGCAGCAGCAGCAGCAGCAGGAACAGCAGTTCCTTGTGCCGCAGCAGCAGCTGCCAGCAGCAGCGGTTGCTGCTGCTGCCCTAGTTCTCATTGACCATTTGGATCTGCAGCTGCTGCTGCAGCTGCAGCAGCAGCAGCAGCAGCAGCAGCCTCCTGCGCGGCCACCGCAGCATAAGCAGCAGCAACTGCTGCTGCTGTTTTTTTCCTTTCTTGCGCTGGCCTGCCTCTATGCAGCTCTTGCTGCTGCTCCTGCTGCTGCTGCTGCAGTAGTTGCTTCTGCTGCTGCTTTAGTAGCTGCCGCTGCTGCAGCGGCAGTTGCTGCTGCAGCAGCTGCTGTTGCCGCTGCAGTTGCTGCTCTTGCTGCCGCTACGGCACTTTACGTTGTTGCTTCTGCGGCTGTTGCTGCTCGAAGCAACTGCTGCTGCTGCAGCAGCGGCAGCAACAAGAGCTGCTTCAAGCAGCAGCAGCAGCAGCAGCAGCAGCAGCAGCAGGAGCTGTTTGCGCGCGTGGGTCTCCTGCAATGTCTCTTTCTGTCTCTTTTTGTGTCTTCGTCTCTCTTTAATTTATTAAAATTTATAATTTATAATTTATAATTTATAATTATTTAATTTATCAATTTATTTAATTATTATTTATTTATTCATTAGGCATTTTGCAGTTGTGTCTGCTGCTGCGTAGCAACGGAGGGAGATATGAATTTAATTCTAAAAAGATTAATTAATTTAATTTAATTTAATTTAAATTTAATTGCATTTAATTAATTAAATTAATTAAATTAATTCGAATTAATTGAGTTAAATAGATATTTAGCGAAAAGCGAGTCGCAGGCAGCAGCAGCGGGACAAACAGGGTTTGGGGTTTAGGGTTTAGGGTTTTGCTGCCGCAGGCAGCAGCAGCGGGACAGAAACAGGGTTTGGGGTTTAGGGTTTAGGGTTTAGGGTTTTGCTGCAGAGGCTAGCAGCAGCGCGCAGCAAAAAGACACAAACAGACACGGCGACACTCAGGCCTGCGGAGTCATACAGAACAGCAGCAGCAGCAGCAGCAGCAGCAGCAACACATGCAGTAGCAGCAGGAATACCAGCAGCAGCAGCAGCAGCAGGAGGCGGCAGCAGCAGCAACAGTAGCAGTATAAACAGCAGCACGATAGGCAGCAGCAGAAACAGCTGAGATGCAGCAGCTGCAGCAACTGCTCAAGCGCAGCAGCAGCAGCAGCAGCTGTGAATGTGGCCGAAAGCTGCTGACGGCCTCAGCAGCAGCAAATGCATACGCAGCAGCAGCAGCTGCAGCAGCGCTGCTGCTGCTTCAACAAGAACAACAGCAGAACAGCTGCAACTCCAGCAGCAGCAACACAACTGCACAGAGCAGCAGCAGCAGCAGAGCAGCTGCAGCAGTAACAGAAGCAGCAGCTGCTGCGTAGCTGCATGCTGCGGCGAGTTACACCAGCAGCAAATCAGGAGTAGCAGCAGCAGCAGCAGCAGCAGCAGCAGCAGCGCCGCGTGGGTTGCTGCTGCTATAAGACTGCTTTGGCTGCTTCGAGACTCTGCCTTTCCAGTCTACCTAAACTAAACAATAGAGCTAAATAAATAAATAAATAAATAAATAAATAAATAAATAAATAAATAAATAAATAAATAAATAAATAAATAACAAAATTTATTTGCTTATTTATTTATTTATATATTTGTTTGTTTGTTTGCCCGAGCTGAGAGACAGGGAGCCCCCAGTGCGTCTCCAAATAAAACGGCAAAGACAACAACCCTAGCTCGACATAGCAGCAGCAGCAGCAGCTGCTGCTGCAGCTGCTGCTGCTGCAGCAGCTGCTGCTGCAGCAGCTGCTGCTGCTGCTGCTACTCGGCCATACACACTGCGAAAAGGCCTCACAGGGGCCCTCCTGTAGAGACTGGGGGGCCCCTAGGGGCCCCTGTAGCAAATACTTCTTAAGGCGAGCCCCCACAGCACTTCATTTAGTGGGGGCCCCCAGGGGGCCCCCTGGGGGCCTCTGGGGGGCCCCCAGGGGGCCTCTGGGGGGCCCCCAGGGGGCCTCTGGGGGGCCCCCAGGAGGCCTCTGGGGGGCCCCCTGGGGGCCTCTGGGGGGCCCCCGGGGGGCCTCTGGGGGCCCCCTGAGGGCCTCTGAGGGCCCCCCTGGGGGCCTCTGAGGGCCCCCCTGGGGGCCTCTGTGGGGCCTCCTGGGGGCCTCTGGGGGCCCCTTGGGGGCCCCCAAGGGCTCCTGAGGGCCCCTACAGCGAAGATTATATCTCGGGGCCCTGCGGGGCCCCCCAGGGGGCTTTGAAAAGAAGCAAAAGCCCCAAAAGCCTCCAAAAGGGGGCCCCTTGGGGGCCCCCTGGGGGCCCCTGGGGGGCCCCTGGGGGGCCCCTAGGGGCCCCCTTTGCTGTCTGGCGGCCCCCCGGCGCCCTCGCTGCGCGTTCGTGCTTCAAGCTGCTTCCTTGCTGCTGCTGCTGCTGCTGCTGCTGCTGCTGCTGCTGCTGCTGCTGCTGCTGCTGCTGCTGCTGCTGCTGATTCTGCTGCTGCTGCTGCTGCTGCTGCTGCTGCTGCTGCTGCTGCTGCTGCTGCTGCTGCTGCTGCTGCTGCTGGTGCCCCTATTCTTTGTCCCCTTTTTGCTGCTCTTTGAAAGAAGAGGGGGCCCCCGAAGACTCTATTACTTGCTGCCGCACAAACTCTATTTGCCGCCGCGCGTAAGAACGCGGGGGCACTGGGGAAATCTCCCCAAACTCGCACCTGCACGCAAACCCTAAACCCTAAACCCTAAACCCTAAACCCTAAACCCTAAACCCTGGAAGCCGGGCGGCCCGCAAGAGGTCCCGCAGCCTTCTGGCCCTTGCGCGGGACGCCGTAAACCCCAAACCCTACGCCCCAAACCCCAAACCCCAAACCCCAAACCCCAAACCCTAAACCCTAAACCCTAAACCCTAAACCCTACACCGCAGTGGACTTGAGTCGTTTGTAAAAGGTGTGGAAGTAACGCCGCGGACTGTAAGGACTCAAAAAGTCAATTAATCCAAAAAAATAAATTTCGTTGCGGCTTTCGCTCATTGCCTTCAAGCCAAAACCCCCGTCCAGCGCGGGGGCCCCCAGGTACGGCGTGCTGCAGCACACAAACCCTAAACCCTAAACCCTAAACCCTAAACCCTAAACCCTGCGCCCTAAACCCTAAACCCGAGCCCTAGACCCTTAACTCTGGGCCTGAAATCCTTAACCTGAAACCTCCAGGTCCAAAGCTTGTGCGACGGATCCCTGCAGGATCCCCCCATGGCTGCAGTAAACCCTAAACCCTGAACCCTAAACCCTAAAACCTAAACCCTAAACCCTAAACCCCGAAACCCGAGCCCTAGCTCTGCACCTGGAGCGGCAGACCCTATGACCCTGCACCCCCACCCCTGCCCCCAAACCCCAAGCTCAAGCCCCAAACCCTAAACCCTAAACCCTAAACCCTAAACCCTAAACCCTAAACCCTACACACCTCGTTTGCGTGAAAGTCCTTGAAAGAGCCACACTCTGTCCATAAGGGTAATAAACTGCTCTTCCAAACTCGCTGTCTTCTTCGCTGCTTCTTCCCCCTTTTTGAAATCGGGTATCTCTCCACTTGAGCCCCGGGGGCCCCCCGGGGCCTGAGGGGCCAAAGCGAATCCGCGTGGGGGCCCAACAGCACGCGTTGCTGCAGCTGCTGCTGCTGCTGCTGCTGCTGCGGAGCTTCGTCGCCTGCTGCGGCACAGAGTCGCCTCCCGGCAGCACCAAACAACGAACACCCGCAGCTTGCTGCTGCTGCTGCTGTTGCTGCTGCTGCTGCTGCTGCTGCTGCTGCTGCTGGCGCCGCTGCTGCTGCGTGGGCGGCGCTTCAAAAGAAGCTGCCCGGAAAACGGGGTTCCCGTCAGCCCCCGTTGCTGCATTTGCTGCATTGCTTGCTGCTGCTGCTGCAGCATCTGCTGCCCCTGCAGCGTCTGCTGCTGCATCTGCTGCAGCATCTGCTGCTGCTGCTGCTGCTGGATCTCCAACAGCGCTTGCTGTCTCTGGGGACCCTTGAAACAGGCGCTTGACTTCTGTCTCCTGCGTAGCCGCGCCTTGCTGCTGCTGCTGCTGCTGCTGCTGCTGCTGCTGCTGCTGCTGCTGCTGCTTCCTAATGTGTTTACGGGCGCCGCCTTTCAGGGCAACATCGTCTGGGCTGCTGCTGGGCCTCACAGTTTGCTGCTGCTCGATGGGGGCCCCCAAGGGGGGCCCCTTGGGGCTTCTTCTGCTGCTGCTGTCTTGCTGCAGCTGCCCGTCGTTGCAGGGCAAAAGCTCGCAGCTTTTGAGAGGCTTCAGCTGCTGCTGCTGCTGCTGCTGCAGCAGCAGCAAATTCTCCGCAGACTGCCGGCCCTCATGCGTCCCGCCCCCTCCTGCAGCCGTTGCTGCAGGAGCTGCTGCTGCTGCTGCTGCTGCTGCTGCTGCTGCTGCTGCTGCTCCCGATGATGGGGAGGGAGAGTCTCCTCCTGAAGCAGGGGGAGAAGCAAGTTGGGCCCCCTTGGTCCCTTTTTGGGGCCCCTCAGCAGACTCGCAGCGAGCCACTCCCTGCTGCTGCTGCTGCTGCTGCTGCTGCTGCTGCTGCTGCTGGGAGTCGGTCTGCTGCTGCTGCTGCTGCTGCTGGTGGAGATGCGCCGTGGGCAGCCGCAGCGCCTGCAGCAAAGTGTTTTCTGCACTTTTCATCAAACCCTCGCTTTGGGTGGTTTCCATGGACAAGTGGGCCTTCCTAAGCAGCGCAACGCCCCCAGGGTTTAGGGTTTAGGGTTTAGGGTTTAGGGTTTGGCCGTCTAGGGCTTACGCAGCGCTGGCAGGCAGCGAGGCGGGCTGCTGCGTGCCGCTTAGCGGCGGCAGGCTAAGGGTTTGAGGTTAGGGTTTAGGGTTTAGGGTTTAGGGTTTAGGGTTTAGCCGACTCAATTTAGGCTGCAGGAAAGGTTTGAAGCTTCTGCTGGAGTTTCAGAAGTAGCGCAGCAAGCATGTTCCTGGAGCACCCGCCAGCTAGGGTTTAGGGTTTAGGGTTTAGGGTTTGGCGCTCACATTGTATAGTCCCTCAGCGGCCCCCGACTAGGAATGTCTGGGTTGGAGACGGGACGGCTGCCCTCTTTCTGCAGGCTGCAGCAAACAGCAGCAGCAGCAGCAGCAGCAGCAGCAGCAGCAGCAGCAGCAGTTGCAAGGCAAACTCCCTCACAGATGCGTCAGCAGCAGCAACAGCAGCAGCAGCATCCACGGTACTTCAGCCAGCAGCAGCACCAATCGCAGCAGCAGCGGCGGCAAAAAAAGCCACCGCAGCAGCAGCCACCATCTCCTTTGGCAGTGACCGCAGCAGCAGCAGCAGCAGCAGCAGCAGCAGCAGCAGCAGCAGCATCGACGGGAGCATGAGCAGCAGATACAGCCGCAGCAGCAGACGAAAGAGAGCAGCAGCAGCAAACCAGCTGCAGCAGCAGCAAAACAACTACAGTGGCACCAAAACAACCGCAGCGACAGCCAAACAACTGCAGCAGCAAGCCCGCAACAGCAGCAGCAGCAGCAGCAGCAGCAGCAGCAGCAGCAAACCATTCGTGAATGCCAATGAGCAGAGAGTAGTCGAAAACCCCCAAACCCTCCAAAAACTTGCAGTCTCTTTCGTGAGCAGCTAAAAGAATGCGCGCTTCATCTTCCCGCAGATGCAGCTTCCGCCCACACTGCAGCCAGTCTGCAGCAGCAGCAGCAGCAGCAGCAGCAGCAGCAGCGGCAGCAGCAGCAGCAGCAGGGAAGTCGGGTCAGGGGCTGGCGCGGGAAGGAAAGCCGCAGACAGCAACGACGGGGAACTACGGCAGCAGCAGCAGATGAGCAGCAGCAGCAATGTGGTGCGAGCAAAGCCACAGACATTAACGCAGCAGCAGCAGCAGCAGCAGCAGCAGCAGCAGCAGCAGCGCAGCAGCAGCAATGTGGTGCGGGCACAGCCGCAGCCAGTAAAGCAGCAGCAACAGCAGTAGCAGCAACAGCAGCAGAAGCAGCAGTATGGTGCGAGCACACCTACAGCCAGTAGAGCAGCAGCAGCAGCAGCAGCCACAAACACTGAAGCAGCAGCAGCAGCAGCAGCAGCAACAGCAGCAGCAGCAGCAGCAGCAACTAACCAACATCTTTCTTGACCTTGTCCCCCTCCTTTGCTGTTCTGCTAACAGTGCTGCCCTTTATGTCATATGCCTCACTTAGGCCCAAAGAAGGGTCAAACGCGTTGCCTGCACAAACCCTAAACCCTAAACCCTAAACCCTAAACCCTAAACCCTAGCCTTTAAGTTGAAAATGCCAAACCCTGGGTCCTGTGGCGAGACTCTGACGCTCTTCAGAGAAGAGCTAATGGACAAAAGGAATCAGCGGCCTTTGCTGCTGCTGCTGCTGCTGCTGCTGCTGCTGCTGCTGCTGCTGCTGCTCTTTCCTTGCTGCAGCTGCTCTTGCTACTGTTGCTCCTGCTACTCCTACTGCTGCTATTCTTGTTGGTGCTTTTGCAATTCACCTCGTTGTCGCTGCTGCTTCTACTGCTGCTGCTGCTGCTGTTGCTGCTCGTACTGCTGCTGCTACTCCTGCTGCCGCTGCTGCTGCTCCTATTGCTGCTGCTACTCCTGCTGCTGCTGCTGCTGCTGCTGCTGCTCACCCATTGCAATGAAATAGGCAGCAGTTACCAAAGTGCGCTGCGACTCTTGTGTCTTTATGTCTGGCGAAGCTGAGAGCCTGAGGGCCGCACAGGCAGCAGCAAAAGCAGCAAGCCAGTCAGCAGCAGCAGCAGCAGCAGCAGCAGCAGCAGCAGTAGCAGCAACAGTAGCACAAGCAGCAGCAGCAGCGCAAATCGCTACTGCTGCTGCTGTTTTAGCCAGTGCTCAACCCACAACGCGACCCCAACAGCAGCCATTCTGCGACAGCAGCAGCAGCAGCAGCAGCACCACAGCAGCAGCAGCAGCAGCAGCAGCAGCAGCAGCGCACTCGGGTTCGCTGCGTTTGTGTTTCCGCTTCAGCATCGCCAGCAGCCCATGTTCGGGCGACTGTCCCTGCAGGTAAGTGCGGGGCCTCTGCAGCTGCTGCCGGTGCTGCTTCTGCTTCTGCTTCTGCTGCTGCTGCTGCTGCTGTTGCTGCTGCTGCTGCTGCGCCCCGTTATCTGTTGCCATAACTCTAAACGAATGCTCATCTTCATACCATCCTTGGCTGCTAAAAGTGTTCCTCCAATCTCCCGAACAAAAGTCCCCTGTTCTTAAACAGGAGTCGGGGGGCCCCCAGGGGGGCCCCCCGGGGGGGCCCCCCTGGACCTAGGGGCCTGCTGCAGGCCGCAGCAAAAGTCTTGCTGCTGGAAATGCCTTTCCATTAAAGAGCCGCCAGTCAGCAGCAAAGCAGCAACATCAGTTTGGGCGCTGCTGTATCTGGAGTTTCTTTTTGCTGCTCTGCTGGAGGCGAGAGAGGAAATTCGCCGCTCGGGAGCAGCAGCAGCAGCAGCAGCAGGAGAAATCTCCCCTGAGCCTAGGTGGCAGTGCCCCCACTGCTCCGACTCCATTCCACTCGCACTAAAGGGCTGCAGCAAACCCTCGTACCCACAAGGGGGGCCCCCGGGGCCCTCAAAGCCCACCCCACAGGGGCCCCCCGGGGGGCCCCTGGCTGAGGGCTCTCTGGGGCTTGCCCTGAGGGGGGCCCCTCTGCAGGGGCCCCCTCTGAGGGGCCCCCCGAGGGGCCCCCTGAGGGGGCCCCCGAAGGGCCCCCCGAGGGGCCCCCACAGGGGACCGGACCGCAGGGCCCCCCAGAGGGGCCCCCAGAGGGGACCCCAGAGGGGCCCCTAGAGGGCAGCCAGCAGGGGCCCCCGGAGGGGCTCCCACAAAACACCCCAGGGGGGCCCCCAGGGGGGCCCCCAGGGGGCCCCCCAGGGGGGCCCCCAGGGGGGCCCCCGGGGGGGCCCCCACAGGGGCCCCCGTCCGCGTCAGGGGTTGCTTGGGTGTAAAGTTCAACTCTATGAATGCCAAATATGCGCGTCAGCAAAGACAAGGGGGTACTGAGGATGTGGTCAATGTATGCGGGGAGGATTCTGCAGAAAAAAACAAGGGTTTAGGGTTTAGGGTTTAGGGTTTAGGGTTTGGGGTTAGGGTTTAGGGTCAGGGGCTGGACGCAGAAAAGAGGCTTGGGGTTTTGGACGCCCCCAACTCCCCTACTGAGTCCCAGGGAGAAAAATGCTGCGAGAAAGAAACCCTCCATTCCACCGCTAGGGTTTAGGGTTTAGGGTTTAGGGTTTAGGGTTTAGGGTTTACCGCAGTATTTGCTCCACTTCGGCCTTTGAAATTGTCTTTATAAGAAATTTGCCGTCGTGGGAAAAAAAGAAGAACTGCCCGCTTTTGCTGCAGCGCAAACCCCTCGCAAACCCTAAACCCTAAACCCTAAACCCTAAACCCTAAACCCTGGCTTTGTACCTTTTGATCCTTTCTTCCAATTTCCACCTAACTGCCACTGCTGCATTCTTCTGTTTCTCACAAATCCACCAAATACATAAATAAATAAATTAAATAAATAAATAAATAAATAAAATAAATAATAAATAAATAAATAAATAAAATAAAATAAATAATAAATAAATAATTAAAATAATTAAATATTTGTTTTTGCGGTTTTACCTGTTGGAGTGAAACTCCATAAAGGAGAAGTCCGTAGAGCACAAACTGGATCTGTATTCCTAAAAATAAAAAAATAAATAAATGAATAAATAAATGAATAAATAAATAAATAAATAAATAAATAAATAAATAAATAAATAAATAAATAAATAAATAAATAAATAAAATAATAAATAAATATAAATAAAAAATTTAATTGTAAATATTATAATAAATAATAATTACTATTAAGTGTTTTTCTCCAAAAAATAAAAGACCCCTAAACCCTAGTAAACCCTCGCAAACCCCCGTAAACCCTCGTAAACCCTCGTAAACCCTCGAAGCCCTTCTGAACCCTTGTAAACCCTTGTAAACCCTTCTAAACCCTCGTAAACCCTCATAAACCCCCTAAACCCTCATAAACCCCCAAAACCCTCGTAAACCCTCGTAAACCCCCCAAAACCCTCCTAAAACCCGCAAGCCCTCGTAAACCCCCCAAAACCTAAACCCTCGTAAACCCCCCCAACCCTCGTAAACCTCCGTAAACCCCCCAAACCCTCGTAAACCCTCGTAAACCCCCCAAACCCTCGCAAACCCTCGCAAACCCCCCAAACCCTCGCAAACCCTCGTAAACCCCCCTAACCCTCCTAAACCCTCGAAAAACCCCCAAACCCTCCCAAACCCTCGTTAACCCTCCTAACCCTCGTAAACCCTCGCAAACCCCTCAAACCCTAGTAAACCCTCGTAAACCCCTCAAACCCTCGCAAACCCTCGCAAACCCTCGCAAACCCCCAAACCCTCGTAAACCCCCAAACCCTCGCAAACCCTCGGACATGTTCGGGAACTCCGGCGACTTCTCTGGCGCATTCGAAGGCGTCGGGGGCCAAGTCTTGAAAAGCAGCAACAAGACGGGGCGGCAGCAAAGGGGCGCAGTGGAACTCGAAGCGCCGCAGCTGCAGCAGCAGCGGCTCGTCCAGCAGAAACCCTAGCTGCAGCAGCAGCAGCAGCAGCAGCAGCGGCAGCAGCAGCAGCAGAAGCAGCAGCAGCAGCAGCAGCAGCAGCAGCAGCAGCAGCAGCAGCAGCAGCAG